ATAAAAGTTAACATATATATAATGATTTTTAAAGCTTTTTTGACGAGCTACACGCTGTTAATAAAAATTTTTTTTTTTAAATAACATTTGACCTTGAAATTCAAGGTCAAAATGTTAATTTACGTTTATCTCAAAATCGGATTTTTTAAAATTATTTTTAACTATCTCAATGGAAAGCTTGACTAATTTCCTACAAAACATGTAATTTTCAGAGTGGGATCTTTTAAAGTTTTTGAGATATTAATTAATTAATTAATTAATGTTTATAACAAATGAAATATTTTACAAACGAATAAAGTTACCGTAATTCTGAAGTTAGTAATTGAAAGTTAAAGTAATTCCGCATCCAACGAGCCCTATATGAAGTATTTTGGATAAGTAGATTGTTAATAAACAATTAGTTAACATTGCAATTGTTTATAACCAATCTACTTATCCAAAATACTTCATATAGGGCTCGTTGGATGCGGAATTAGCTTAACTTTCAATTGGTTAGTTTAGATTTATGATAACTTTATTTGTTTGTAAGATATTTCATTTTTTATTGTTATTTAACTAAAATTGAACAAAAATACTTCATATAGGGCTTTTGGATGCTTGTTGTTAGTAAAAAATAAAATATTTTACAAACAAATAAAGTTATGGTAATTCTGAACTTACCAATTGAAAGTTAAGGTAATTCCACATCCAACGAGCCCTATATGAAGTATTTTGTATAAGTAGATTGTTAATAAACAATTGCAATGTTAACTAATTGTTTATTAACAATCTACTTATCCAAAATACTTCATATAGGGCTCGTTGGATGCGGAATTACGTTAACTTTCAAATACTAACTTAAGAATTACGGTAACTTTATTCGTTTGTAAAATATTTCATTTGTTATAAACATTAATTAATTAATTAATTAATATCTCAAAAACTTTAAAAGATCCCACTCTGAAAATTACATGTTTTGTAGGAAATTAGTCAAGCTTTCCATTGAGATAGTTAAAAATAATTTTAAAAAATCCGATTTTGAGATAAACGTAAATTAACATTTTGACCTTGAATTTCAAGGTCAAATGTTATTTAAAAAAAAAAATTTTTATTAACAGCCTGTAGCTCGTCAAAAAAGCTTTAAAAATCATTATATATATGTTAACTTTTATGCATTCTACTTATAAATATTGTACATTGAAAAAAATTTTTTTTTTCAAAAGTCAAAAATTAAAAACGTTGTAATTCAAAAACTATTTTATTAAATTCAATAATAATTGATTTTTAGACTTTTACCAACAATAACAACATTTTAGAAAAGTATGGATTAAATTCGAGAACTTTTAATTTTTTGTTCGGACATTTCAGGAATTTTGCCTCATATATATATTTGAAAAAAATTAGAAATCGCTGGCTATTTCACATAAAAGTTTATTTTTTTACAACTAGATGAGCAAAAACATTCTGGTCTCTTGTAAAATAGAATATATGAATTGATCGCTCAATCAATCTCTGAGCGAATTTGATCCAGTTTTCACTAAATATAAATTTGATTTGAACCAAATATTCCATCTAATTATAGTGCAGTATGCTAAAAAGAGAAATTAAAATTAGTAATTATTTAGTTGATTTGTGGAAGAATTATGTTAAATTGAATTTTAATAATATAGTAATTAATATATGCATATTAATTAATTCTTATCATTATAATTAATTATAATAGTAATGAATGTGCTAAAACGTGAGCGAAAAACCTGATAAAATTCGCTCAGAGTTTACTTGAGACAATCCAACAGTATCTTATTATTCTAGACTATTTTATTTGTATATTACACATATTCTTTTAAGTTCGAATTCAAATAATATTTACATACGAATTTTTTGTTTAATTAAATATTTGCTGAAGCAAATTTTATTAATTGAATACATTAATATATGATAATTGGACTAAAAATGTTTTTTGATCAATATAACAATATACCTATTTTAACTTTACTTGTTAATTTTTAAAAATTATAAAATTTTTTTAAAATAATAATAATAATTATCAACAAAATATGTTGATAAAATTGAAAAAAGTAATAAGATCTTCTATTTTCATAAAACCGTATTCTATTTTTAAGATCTCAGTTAGGTTAGTTTAGCTCAGGGGTTAGGTATTCGGTTTGCGTTCGTTAGGTTGTGAGTTCGATTCCCTGCGTTTGCGAGATTTTCTTCGATAGGAGTAAATAAATATAATAAATTGTAAAAATAATAATTAAGAATGTGTAACGTAAAGATAAAAAAATGTTGTACGATAATTTATTTTTTTAATGATAAAATATTGATTTTTTTTAATTTTTAAATATTTGTAGTCAGAATTCATGAGAAGTAAGTCAGGAATCTTCAAAACTATTTTATAGAAAGAAATGTCATTTAACATCACAAATAGTCACAGGGTTTAATGATTTATGGTATGGCAAAAAAAAAGGTCTCCGACCCTCATAAAAAATCTGACTACTATTGACGATTCTTTGACTAAACCTCACTTATTGTGGTGTTCTGTGACTGCAATCGTAACAAAAACAGTCTCAAAACGTCAGAGATCCTGACTAATTTTTTGACGTTTTGTGATTTTATTTTTAGCAGGGTTGGTTCAAATCAAATTTATATTTAATGAAAACTGGATCAAATTCGCTCAGAGATTGATTGAGCGATCAATTCATATATTCTATTTTACAAGAGACCAGAATGTTTTTGCTCATCTAGTTGTAAAAAAATAAACTTTTATGTGAAATAGCCAGCGATTTCTAATTTTTTTCAAATATATATATATAGAGTTAACACAGTGGTAAGAATAGGTTTTCAACATATGTTGCTTTCTTATAACTAAATGTAAGGAAACTAGCTTACTGTAAAATAATAAATAAAAATTTGAAGTAGGGACTTTAAAAGTATAGTCGTAGTCATTGACGCCTTCCCTTTTCTGTCCTTGTCTTACAAACGTGATTCCATATATATTATATGTACGTTAGAAAAGGACAAAAAGAAAAGTATAGGCCAGAAGGATCTTTTATGGTTTTATGGCTTTTCATTGCAAAATTAAAAATTGTTGCATTTGAAAAAAATAATTTTTAAATATTATATTCGTAATGTACATGTTAATACAATTACAACGATATAAAATTTTTTGCAAATATTTTTAAATTATTGAGAATTAATTTTAATTAATGGAGTATTTATTGTATAATCATTATGTAATTTTAGAGTTTTTACATAATGTTTTATATCATTGGAATCGTTAAAATCTATAAATTACAAATATAACATTTAAAAAAATATTTATTTAAATTTAAATAATTTTTTATTTTGCATTAAAAAGTCATAAAACCTGATGGACCCTCGAAAGGACCCTTCTGTTGGAAAAAGGGAATATATAATATAATAGAGTTATATGGTGGGTTTGAGTGGCCTTGGTACCTCTCTTGGAACCCTTTTTACAAAAAAAATAAAACGTAGTTTTATCACAGAACATCAAAATAGTCTCAAAACGTCTGGATTTCTGACGTTTTGAGACTGATTTCTGATTTTATTTTTAGCAGGGAATTCATTTTATTACAAATTTTAATTAAAGCAAATGTTTTTTATATTTATATTTTCTAATAAATAATATTATAATATATTTAAATATATTATTTATATATAAGAATACTATATGTGTTTATAAATTAATTAATTAAAATTATATTTTTCATTAAATAAAAATATTAAATATATATTAAAATTTACTTAATAGTTTAGGATATTTTAACAGGGATATGAATGAATAACAGTCTATAAATTTGTTGTCAAAAATTTTATTAGGCGCGATCAGCTCGTGACGTCACGACAAGTCACTGCTCATAGCGCTACAAGCCAGTTCTGTAATCGTTTCAAGTCTAAACAACACAGGTTGCAAAACGAAAAATCGGATCTCGATTACAGGAGCGCTTATGACAATTTACAGATACGTTCTGTAATTTAAGCAGGTCTATTTTTAAAAATATTAGAACTGCTTTGTAACCATCACAAAAGTGGTCACTTCGTCCGAGCAGTACGGTGCAGTTCTGTAATCGTTACAGAATAAATTTTCTCCGTGTACGCTTTTAGAAATCTGACGCAGTCGATTGCAAGAAATAGAAATATTTAATTGATATTACAAAATTCCCATTCCTCTGAATACGGTCCTAAAAACTTGACTCAGGCGATTGCGAGGCATAGAAATACTGAATTTATACCCTAAATTTCCCATTCCTCTGAATATGCTCTTAAAAACCTGACGCAGTCAATTGCAAGGCATAAAGATACCTCATTTAATCTAGAAATTTTCTATTCCTCTAAATACGCTCCTGATGTCATGGCACAGTCAATTAAAAGGAATAGACATATCCACTTCACTCTCCAAATTTCTTATTCCTTTCAATGCGCTTCAGAAATTTTGATACTGTCGATTTAAAGGAATAGATATTTAAAATTTGCTCTCCAAACATTTAATTTTTCTCTATTCGCTACCAAAAATTTGAAAATATGAAACTTTGCGCATTAAGAAGAATAAGAAGTCTGAATTCTTTTCTATTGACTTACCTCTACTGGGAATAGAGAAGAATTCATTTTTCTGATATTTTGATGTTCAGTGAGGAATTGGGTAAAAACGTAAAATCGCCTATTCGGAAAAATTAAAAATTCTTAACTTCTGCTCTATGTCTGCAAACTTTCAATTTTTCTCTATTCCTCGTTTCTTACCGGGTTGGTATTTTGGCCGATTTTGTAGAAAGTGTCCATGTTTCGAGAAAAAAGTATTTTAAAGTAAAATCTTTTTCACGTTCAGTGCTGTTTTTATAAGGCGATAATTAAAGGTATCTCCTTGGCAAAGATTTTCAGAGACCATTCAACATCTTTAAAAAATTATTACTTGATACTGAAATAATTAAAATCAAAGTTTAAAAACTGAGCAACATTGCTCATATAATAAATTTTTTTAATTAGATTCTTCAAAAAACGAATTTTTCTTATTTAATTTATAAAATATGTTTTAATATAACAAGGTTCTAAATTATTTCATGGATTACAAATTTATATTATGTGAACTTATCTTATAAACATAATGTTACAACTTAAGACATAAAAGTCGGCGTCAAAATAATACTAATAGTTCGCATAATTCTTTTAAATGTCACTAAGAAATTACAGTCGCAGCAAAAAAAAAACCATATACACTGGAAGTTCGATCAAAGTGCATTTGTTTACAAATTGGTTTTTATAGGCGAAAGGTGTCTAAAGAAAAAATAGATTATGTAATATAAATAAATAGTATTAGAAAAAAATGACAAAAATTTTATTTAAAAGAAAGATTACCGAGCATAAAAGTTTTGTCCCCTCGATCGAGCTTTCAGTGTATTAAAAAAAAAAGATGCTTTAGACTTTAACGTCGAAATGTTACATTTTCTGTAGACAAATAAACATAAATTAAACTATTTCTCGGACATTCAAAAGATTTTTTTAAAAAAATATATATCAATGTCCATTTATAAAATTGCACTTTAAAAGTCAGCTGTTAGAGTGAAATTACTCTTTTCTTGCATAACACCCCATTTTTGATATTCGCCAACTTTCTTCTCAAAGAAATTCGTTTTTCCTTCAAGAGAAATATGCTCCATGAAATCAAATGGATTTTCAGAACCGTAAACCTAGAAATGGAAATAAAAATTTAAAAAAGAAGTGCAACAATTTTTCCTCATTTAAATAAAGTGTAAAGCTAAAAAATTCTTCAAGGAAAATTTTATAACTTTAGAAAATTGTATATTTAAATTTAGATAATTACTTTAGGACATCCCAATTCGAGAAGCAGTCTATCGGCAACAAATTCTATGTACTGGCACATTAATTTGCAATTCATGCCGATCATTTCCACTGGTAAAGCATCAGTCAAAAATTCTTGTTCTATAGACACTGCGTCTTTTATTATTGAAATCACTCGTTCTTTACTGGGTTTTTGAATAATATGTTTAAACATTAAACATGCAAAATCACAATGTAATCCCTGTAATAAATATATAAAACAAAAAAAAATATATTGAAATTATCATTTAATTAATTAAATTTATGAATTTTTATTATACTAACCTCATCCCTAGAAATAAGTTCGTTACTAAATGTAAGCCCAGGCATTAATCCTCTCTTTTTTAACCAGAAAATTGATGCAAAACTACCGCTGAAAAATATTCCTTCTACTGCCGCAAATGCAATTACGCGTTCAGCAAATGTAGCAGATTCATGACTTATCCAATTTAAAGCCCATTGTGCTTTTTTTGCAACGCATGGTAAAGTTTCAATAGCATTGAAAAGAAAATCTCTGAAGGAAAAAAACAATTAATATTTTCATTAGATTAACATTTTACCAAGCACGAACCTTCTATTAATGTCTTTTTAAATAATAAAAATCATTTTTTTGACTGATTTCAAACGTAATACTTAAAAATAAAAATACCTTTGTTTAATGTCACTAATATATGTGTCTATTAGTAGAGAATACATTTCCGAGTGAACATTTTCCATGGCTACTTGGAATCCATAAAAACAACGGGCCTCTGTTACTTGAACTTCTTGGCTAAAACGTTCCACAAGATTTTCATTAACTATACCGTCAGAAGCAGCAAAGAAAGCTAAAATATGGGAAATAAATTTCCGTTCGTCATCCGTTAATTTTTTCCAATCTGCCAAATCCTGAAATATATTTTAATATAGTTTTGAAAATTAACATCATATTTTATAAGATACTTTATGTAGAAAAACAATCAAAGGCAGAAAAGGGTAATCGAAAAGTTAAAAAATAAGCTATTTACTTGAAATTGTTTCTTTTAATTAAAGGTTTGATGGAATTGAATCATTTCTTATGAATTGTTGGTTTCTTACCTTGGATAAATCAACTTCTTCAACAGTCCAAAAAGAAGCCTCAGCTTTTTTATACATCTGCCAAATATCTGGCCATTGAATAGGAAATACAACAAATCTACGAGGATTTTCTTTCAATAGTGGTTCCAATTCAATATTAAAAGAACTGTCTTTTAGATTAAGATTCTTTACAGCCTTTGTTGCGTCAATCTAAAAATAATATGTATATGGTTATAATTATTTAAGACTAGCTTAAGGTATAAACTTAAGGTGTGAACTAATTAATTTTATAGTACTGAAATTTTTATTATAAAATTAATTTTGAAAAAAAATTGTAAGCATGAATAAATATACAAATATCAACGAAAATTAAATATATATTTTATGGAAATAATTGTTTTTCAAGTTTATATATTTCTTTTATTGTATTATATTATTCTTTTATTGTACATGTGTCATTTCAGAAGTTTTTTTTTATCAAAATTCGAAGTAAGCTCGCGAATTTAAATGAAACTTGGTAGTATGATATTTTATTAAAATACAGCTCAAAAAAAACACTTTTTTCTAGACAAGCCGTGAGAAAATCTTGCAGCAGTCACGAAAATCGATATTTTTTAAAAATTAAAAATGTTACTATTACTTCAAAAGTTACATAATACGATGCAACAAATTCCGTTTTAATAAGTTAACAACTTTCTTTGAAAAAAATTCTCATAAAATTGCTTTTTTTCTTTTGACTAGGTAATAAGCATTTAAGGGATTTTTCTTGCTAATTACAGGCATTCATAAAAAAAATTATATTTTCCATTCAAGAATTAGAATTTTTTTTAATTATATTTTTTGGAAGAAAATATGTCATTTTTTAAGAAAAAAATTGTTTATTTACACACATTTTTAGATAATTAAAATTTTTTCTCATATCGCTATTCCATTTTTGTTTTAATGATACAATTTTTGTTTACTATGGCTTATTTTCTGCATAAACATATTAACTACAACTTCACAGAAGAGAATTTCCAAAAAATGCACCGTTTCAAAAATATGATTATTTGTTTAACAAAAGATGCGCTTTTTTTTAACGAAAATTGCACTTCTTTTGTTAAACAAATAATCATATTTTTAAAACGGTGCATTTTTTGGAAATTCTCTTCTGTGAAGTTATAATTTTTTTTTAAATTGACATGTTTTCTTCCAAAAAATATAATTAAAAAAAAATTTCTAATTCTTGAAAGGGACCTAAAATTCAAAATATTCCTTATTTTTCCAGCTTTCATATCCATAAAGAAAAGCAATTACGATGTGAACGTAAAAAAACCGTCACGGATTCTCTAGTTCACTGAATTGACATGTAACAAAATTTATATAATTAGCTAAATTTACATAAAAATATATCTATTTATAAATATACCAGAGTCTATAAATAATTTAAACACATCAATATGCATATTGTTTTTGTGTATAAAACTCCTACAATAAAATAAAAAATTCCATCGCCGAGGTTATATCTCTTCGATTTAAACAAACTGAATAATCCAAAATTGTTTCTTATTTTTGAATAAGGGGCATTCTATTTTAAAATTCTACCCCTAGTAAACAATTGACAATATAAGAGAATTTTTAAATAATTATTTCTCCTATTCCATTAAATCAAATTACTTTTGCAATAAGTAGTTTCGAAAGAAAAATTTCTAAACTTTATTATTGTAAAAAAATTTTTTAAAAAACATTTAATTAGTATAAAAAATTTAGTTTGAATGTTATAAACTTCTAAATATCTCAAAACACATTGTCTCCGATGCAATTTTGAAACAAAAATTTATTTGTTCAAACTGTGGTATTTTAATGTTTTTGAGGTCGCTGAATCCAAATATGATGTTAAAATTTAAAAATTCAAAATGGCGGACCCAAAATGGCGAACGAAAATTTTTCAAAGTGCTTCCCTGGCGGATTCGATTTGCGTAATGTCTACTTAACTAAGCGGACTTTAGGTAGACATTAGGTAGACATGTAAAAAAACGTATAAAAAAGCTATTAATCGACTTATTATGATAAAAAAAAGTTGATAAAAGGGTAAATGAATGTTTATAGAGTAAATTCGTACAAAATTTGTAATTAATAAAGCATTAAATAATTAATAATGAATGGAAATGTGCGCGAGGTACCTGATCAGTTCAGCTGTACAATTATTTTCGTGCTATTTTCATGAAAAGAATATAAATTGACTGCAAAAACAATTGATATTTATAAAAAAGTGTAAAATTGATTTAATTTTATTGTTTGCAATACGAATTATTAAATAATAATTAAGTTTTTATCAAATGTGAATAGTGTTGTGAAAACCTGTGAAAACTAATGAGTTACTACATTACCGATCGCATATGATAATAAAAAGTTCTCGATGAGTGTAACAAAATAGCTGCAATCATGTCCGTAATTTTGGACGAGAAACAATTATGAAATCAATAATTATTTGTATAACTTTATTCTGCATTTTAAAATTCACTTTTTATTTTCTTTCAAAGCAAAAGCTTGGAAGAAAACATGCTCGCACTGTATTGTAAAAACTGGTGGCGCCATCTCTCATATGCGATCGGTAATGTAGTAACTCATTAGTTTTCACAGGTTTTCACAACACTATTCACATTTGATAAAAACTTAATTATTATTTAATAATTCGTATTGCAAACAATAAAATTAAATCAATTTTACACTTTTTTATAAATATCAATTGTTTTTGCAGTTAATTTATATTCTTTTCATGAAAATAGCACGAAAATAATTGTACAGCTGAACTGATCAGGTACCTCGCGCACATTTCCATTCATTATTAATTATTTATTGCTTTATTAATTACAAATTTTGTACGAATTTACTCTATAAACATTCATTTACCCTTTTATCAACTTTTTTTTATCATAATAACTCGATTAATAGCTTTTTTACAAGTTTTTTTTACATGTCTACCTAATGTCTACCTAAAGTCCGCTTAGTTAAGTAGACATTACGCAAATCGAATCCGCCAGGGTTAGATTTCAAGGAGACTTGGTACTTTAACGTTTTCGAGGTCGCTGAACTCAAATATGATAACAAAATTTAAAAATGCAAAATGGCGGATCCAATATGCTAGAACATTTTTTTAAGAATGCTTGAATTTTAACATAATTTTGTATTTTTTTTTTGTATTTTGCATTTTTAAATTTTACCATCATATTTGAATTCAGCGACCTCGAAAACGTTAAAGTACCAAGTCTCCTTGAAATCTAAGCACTTTGAAAAATTTTCGTCCGCCATTTTGAGTCCACCATTTTGAATTTTTAAATTTTAACATCATATTTGGATTCAGCGACCTCAAAAACATTAAAATACCACAGTTTGAAAAAAAAATTTTTGTTTCAAAATTGCATTGTTTTAGTCCGTCATTTTGAATTCGCCATTTTGAATTTTCAAAAATGAACTTTAGTTTTGTATTCAGTGATCCTAAATGCTTACAAAAAAGTTGTTTTATTACGTTTTACCATGATATACCGGTTTGTATACTTCAATTTACCATTTTTCCTAAAAAATGCTAACTTCACTCGACTCCCAGGAGCTCAAAAAAATAAATCAAGGGTTCCCTATAATTTTCCTCTATTCTACATTTATTTAGCTTTATTTTGGTCCAAGGTTCATTCAATTTGGTCAATTTGTTCAAGAGACATTAGGTTTTGAACATGAAATTGCAAAAATAACACACTGTGCGTCAACTACCGTTTGAACAAAGCGGCATTTGTTTTTACGATCTCTAATGTCAAAGAAATAATGTAAGGTTAATGAAAATATAATTTAAAAAACCAATTCCACTCTGGTTAGGTAGTATTACACTTTTCAAGCAGTAAAAAACGGGTTTAGAAAAAAAATTTTTTCTCGCTTCTTAATTTATTTAAAGGAACAAATTTTTTTTTTATAACATTATATGGCATTAAAACTTTTATAATAAATAAAATAAAATTTTTTTATTATCTCTCTTTGGTCACTAGAGGGCCTTAATCGAGTTTTTCTCGAAACGTTGTTTTTGAAACTGGCGGACAGCATAACTCGAGTTCTAATGAACCAATTTTTTTGAAAAAAATATCATTTTTTTCGTAATTAAATTCTTTAAGCATCCCCCCTAAATCCAATTATCTATTTCTTTTTGGATTTTAGCTACAATCCAAAAACTAACCAAAAAAGACCTAATTTTTGACATTTTTTTTTTAAATCGCTGCCATTTCGTTAATTTTCAATATTTTTTATCGGGGTTAGGAGGGATGCTTAATGACATGTCTCAGCTTCAAAACGGTTTTTTGTTTTTTCAGATCCGATGTCCCTGAGAGGCTGTAGCCTGTCCGCCGATTGCCCAAATTTTTTTTTTGCCTTGATTTTAAGGCCCTCTAGTGACCAAAGAGAGATAATAAAAAAATTTTATTTTATTTATTATAAAAGTTTTAATGCCATATAATGTTTTAAAAAAAAATTTGTTCCTTTAAATAAATTAAGAAGCGAGAAAAAAAATTTTTTCTAAACCCGTTTTTTACTGCTTGAAAAGTGTAATACTACCTTAAATAAGTGGTTTTCAATTCATACAAATTTCAATACGTTCTTACCTCTGAAATGTTTAAAAATTTTAAATAATTACTCAAAATCCTCTAAAATGTCCATTATAAACTTTAGGGAAATAAAAAATAGAATATTTAAGCTTTCTTTCGAAATAGGCTTTGTCAAAATCGGAGTAAACGTGTTTTGAGATATTTAGAAATTTATAACATTCAAATTAAATTTTTTATACTAATTAAATATTTTAAAAAAATTTTTTTACAATAATAAAGTTTAGAAATTTTTCTTTCAAAACTACTCATTGCAAAAGTAATTTGATTTAATTAAATAGAAGAAATAATTATTTAAAAATTGTTTTATATTGTCAATTGTTTACTAGGGGTAGAATTTTAAAATAGAATGCACCATAAATATAGACACATAATTTATCAATTTAAACAGTGTTCTACAGTTAAATAAAGTATCAATTTCGTTGTAAAATATCTTTCTAATGCGATTTTTTATACTAATAATTATGAACAGGTTTAAGTTTAGTTAGAAAGATTTCAAGTGAAGTGATTAATTTTGAAAAAAAATGTTTTTTCAAACCTTTTTTTTTCTTAAATAGGGAAATAATACAATTTTGTCAATATCAGTATCGATAGTTTTTTTTGACGACCTTTTAATTAGGAAAATATATTTTTGAAAAAATCTTGATCACAAGAAAAAAAAATTAAAAGTAAATTAATTTTTTTTTTTTTTTTGTTGAAAGGCAGGACTTTTTTTTAACGAAAGCTGAGATCTTTTCCTACAGGGACATACACTGCAGTTCTGATGTAGTAAATGGATATCTGACATTTTTATAGAAAATAAGTATTTTATATCATTTAATTCGTAATGAAACAAAGAATTTAACTGTTATATTTTTAATTAAAAAAATTAATTAATTTTGAATATAATTACACCTTAATTACCTTATTTACAGTCATTTTAATGAAATCTTGATTCACAAAGTGTATATTTACAGAGAATTGAGCAGTATCTACAGAAATAGACTGAATTGATGACTAATGAAAAGAGCATTGCAAAATCGAAGGTAGAACTGATAACTATTATTTTTAAAAAATTTACATATATTAGTGCGACTCAATAAAAATATGTTTTCTCAAATCTCCAAATCACTGTAACTATAGATATCCACTTACTACATCAGAACGGCAGTATAGATGAAAAAGTAGAATGTTTCATCCTTGAAAATTAATTCGCTTCAGTGAATAAAAATGGTTAATTTTCAAGAATTAAACGTTTAAGCCCACTTTTTTTTATCTATATGTCCATATGGAAAAAAAACCTCAGCTTCCGTTAAAAAAATAGCGTCTTTCACTAAAAAAAAAGTCATTTTTTCCACCTTCATCGGACTTTACGTGATATCCCCTATTTAAATATAATAAAACAAATGGGAAATTTTCTTTTAGAAAAAAGTCTCTTACTTAAAACGAAGATACTATTTTTTATTTGATAAATATGCTTTTTTCATTTGTTATAAACAAAATTTAGTTTATTCAAAAAAAAAAAAAAAAAAAATTTTAGTTTATTTCAATTTTGTTGAATGAAGAAAAAATTTAATTGATTATTTTAAACATTTGAATGAATAATCCAAATATGTGGTTTCGTCGACTAAATATTTGATTTATTTATTGAAAAAAATAGTGAAATAGGAGAGAAAAATCGTGATTTAAAAATCGAATTTTTTTAGATTTAGGTGATTTTTCTGAAAAAAGGATAAAACCGGGAATTAGGTAAAAAACGGAGAAAAACTGTAATAATAGGTTTTATTTAATAGTCTTAAATTAAATTGGAAATAATCTAAAAACGATAACCTTGCAAAATTGAGATTTGAGTTTTACCGGTCTCATCAAAACATTAAGAAAAAATTGGAAAAATTGCATAAAGTGATAGACGATTTTTATAAATTTCAAATATGTTAAAGAAAAAAAAAAGATCATTTTTGCTGATTCTATAATAATTATAGAAACAAATTTAACATCAGATTATTAATATTTTAATTTAATTCCATTTTTAATAAATTAACAACTTTCTTTGAAAAAAAATTCTCATAAAATTGCTTTTTTTTGCCTTTTGACTAGGTATAAAACCCTTTAACGCATTTCTCTTGCTAATTACAGGTATTCATAAAAAAAAATTATATTTCCCTTTCAAGAATTAGAAATTTTTTTTTAATTATATTTTTTGGAAGAAAATATGTCATTTTTACAAAAAAAAATTGTTTATTTACACACATTTTTAGATAATCAAATGATGCAATTTTTGTTTTCTATGGCTCATGTCTCCCCCATTTTTCTAATTATAGATCATAATTTTTTAAAACAAATTTTATCCTTCTTACCAAGACAATTTTCGATTTATGCCATTAGACTCAAATCAAAATTTTCATTTAACTTCTTAATGAAATGAATAACTAAAAAAATTAAGTTTCACTTACATCTGATTTTTTTCCATTCTCTTGGGTAATCCTCGGAGAAACGCAACGTTTCTTCGGAGATAACTGTAAAATAAAAAATATTTTTTTATGTCATCAATATTAAACTAAATTAAGTTGGTTTTAAAGCATTTTTATAAAATAATTTTTTAAATATTTTTGATAATATTGATAATATTCTCAACAAAAAAATTTTAACACATTTTTTCGAAAAAAAAACATTAATTTTACCCCAATAGGGATTTTTATGTTTTTTTTAAATATTCTATGTTAAAAAGTAAGTTTTTTTCAATAGAATAATGTGTAAAAATAAAACAGTAAATTTATTTTCAAAATATCAGAATTACCCATGTTTTTAACATACTATTAATTTCTTGTATAATTTACATCAAAAATATATTTACAAATTTTAATTAAGAAAAACCTTTTTTTGTAACTCTTATTGTTAAACATTTTTTTTAACAATGTATACCTATAATTGTAATAATTCATAATAAATTGTAATCAAGCATTATCATATACTGTAAACTTAATTAGAAAATCAAACAAATAAACATTCATATAAATAAAAATACAATATATGTAATATTTGACTTATATCCACAGAAATCTTGAACACATATATACATTTATGGAAAATTCATTAAAATAAATACTTGGGATATAAAACTTACATTTTCTTTGGTTGACATTAATAGAGCCATTTTATAAATTAACAGATAATTCCAAAATCCAATAAAATATATCAGCTGCGATTAACAATTGCACATAACTTTGCACTCTTTAATATAAAGGAAATAATAAGGAAAAGGCGGTAAAACGTAAGTCAACCAACAAGAGAGTGGAAGAATAAACAAATGATGATCTAAAAAAATGAGAGGTAAATACTACCTCATCAAAATTCTCATTGGCAAATAAATATTGCATGAGTGGAGGGAAAAATTAGAACCAATCAGCTCATACATTTCTGCCGCTAAAATTTCCCACGTGTATGTCACATTTTTTTACAACTATATTAAAGGAAAATTGGATAAAAAGACCCCAAGAAAAATGTGTAATAAATTATAAAAAAAAAATTGCGGAATAAATATTCACATTTTAATTACTCTACTAACATACAAAAAATTGGTAAATAAATTATAACCTGACATTTTTTCCCGCTTATTGATCAGGGATAGGAAAATAATTATTTAGATCATTGTCATAAGCAGAGTGGAGAAACATTCAAAATTATAGTGGATGCGTTTACTGTGAAACGTCCAAAATGTTGCGTATTTGACTAAAGATGCTTAAGGTGCTTTTATACCTCCAGTATTTTGGTAAAGCAATCGTCTGGATTGAATTTTCACGGTTGTATCACTGAATTTGATTGGCTCTGACTAATATTCCATTTCCACCGTGAAAATTGAATATTTTTAGAGCCAATCAAATTCAGTGATTCTCCGTGAAAATTCAATCCAGCCGATTGCTTTACCAAAATACTGGAGGTATAAAAGGACCTTTACACACCTTCTTAGTTTTCGGCGAGCGATGTATTTTCACGGTCGAATCACTGAATTTAATTGACTCTGACAAGTGTTCTATTTCCACCGTGAAAATTGAATATTGTTAAGGCCAAATCACAAAAGATTCTTGAACGGTAACGCAATTGTGAACGGAAACGTAAAAGCGCTTGTATACCTCACCGATCCCGAGTATACTTGCGTCGTGTACCATTGGAGTAAAAGATATGGAAATATCTTTTGTCTCTTTTACCCCAATGGTACACGACAGAAGTATACTCGGAATCGGTGAGGTATACAAGCGCCTTAAGAATGAGTGAGAAAAGAATAAAGATATTTGCTATCCTTCACTTACCCATTCTTAAGTTTCCGTTTACGATTGCGTTCCCGTTCAAGAATCTATTCTTGATTAGGCCATTAGACGCAATCAAATTTAGTAATTCTCCGTGAAAATGAATAGGCCGTTTCCGAATTGTGATTTTCAGCGCATTTTTGATAAAGTGTATACTCGGGAAGTATTCAGTGTCTTTGTTTTACCGTGCAAAGAAAAGGACACTGCATACTTCCCGAGTATACACTTTATCAAAAGTGCGCTAAAAATTCCAATTCGGAAACGGCCATAGCTCCTCGAAAACCAAGAAGGTATAAGGGCCTGTCCAGAATAGGAGACGCATGAAAATCCCCTAAACTTCATATAGCAGAAATGCCATTTGACAGAAATTTATATAACAGAAATTTTATTGGACAGAATATTTACATGGCAGACAATTCATATAACAGACTTTTCATTGGACAGAATTTTTATCGAACAGAAATGTCACTTAACAGAAATTTTATCTGACAGAATTTCCATTCAACAGAACATAAGTATAGCAGAACTCTAATTGGTCATAATTTAACTTTTGCATCATACATTCTCATTCCTGCTATATTTTTAACTTGTCGGTAAAGTAGACGTAGAGGTCAGTAGTTGCTATTTCTTTCTCGCCCCAAAGTTTGAATATTAAATAATAAAACTAATATTTTATTTCATTATTATTGATAATGAATACCTAATAATTATAAGTAAATAAAATATTAGTTTTATTATTTAATATTCAAACTTTGGGGCGAGAAAGAAATAGCAACTACTGACCTCTACGTCTACTTTACCGACAAGTTAAAAATATAGCAGGGATGAGAATGTATGATGCAAAAGTTAAATTATGACCAATTAGAGTTCTGCTATACTTATGTTCTGTTGAATGGAAATTCTGTCAGATAAAATTTCTGTTAAGTAACATTTCTGTTCGATAAAAATTCTGTCCAATCAAACGTCTGCCCAATGAAAAGTCTGTTATATGAATCGTCTGCCGTGTAAATATTCTATCCAATGAGAGTTCTGCTATACTTATGTTCTGTTGAATGGAAATTCTGTCAGATAAAATTTCTGTTAAGTGACATTTCTGTCCAATCAAACGTCTGTCCAATGAAAAGTCTGTTATATGAATTGTCTGCCATGTAAATATTCTGTCCAATAAAATTTCTGTTATATAAATTTCTGTCAAATGGCATTTCTGCTATAAGGCCAAAGCAGAATAGATTCTTGAACGGGAACGCAACCGTGAACGGAAACGTAAGAATGAGTGAGAAAAGAATAAAGATATTTGTTATCCTTCTCTTACTCATTCTTATGTTTCCGTTTACGATTGCGTTCCCGTTCAAGAATCTATTCTGCTTAGGCCTATATGAAGTTTAGGGGATTTTCATGCGTCTCCAGAATAGACCAAAAATATAATAGACCACTCGTGCGTGCCTCATAGGATGCTTCGATGCGTGCCTCGTAGTGTGCTTCGTATCCGTATCTTACGGAAGCTTTGACGATGCTTATTTGTTTTTATTGCAAACCCAGTATAATTATTTTATTGTTATTACCTTGTTTTAATAAATGAAATGACATCAAATGTAACAAAACAATTTAATAAAAATTAGTTTATAAGCATAAATAGATTTTTATAGGTACTGGTTAACATTATCGATAGAATATTATTTATATTGATTGAATAATAATAAGTGCAAAAATGTTTACGTTTATCCATTTGTTTAAGTCTTAAAATTTAAATTCGTTTCTACATAAATTACAAGTTAAAAATCAGATAATAATTTCGTTTGTCAACTTTATCTTTAAAGCTTTTTATCAGTAACATTATATTTAATATTTTTTAATATTTTCTTTGTAAATAATTTATATCAGCAGATATATGTATATAATATAAGAGAATAAATATAAAATTTTCAGAAATAATTTTTTTATTTTGTTTTTGACAAAACAATCATACATTAACCTTAAGCTAATAAAACGAAAGCACATTTAAAATCCAATTGTTTAATAAAATCTATTTATCTATTTAAAAATAAACATCGTCAAAACTTCCGTGAGGTACGGGTACGGAGCACGCAATGAAGCACGCATCATGTTTACGATTGCGTTCCTCTTTAAGAATTTATTCTGGAAAGCTATTCTTGATGCTGATTCTACACTCACCGAAAACTGAGCGAGCGGTCCACTTTTCCGTCACGCTTCCCATATTCAACTATATCTATATATATAAAAAACGTAACGCAAATGCGGACCGCTCGCGCAGTTTTAAGGCGGTTCCAGAATAGGTGCAAAAGCCAAGTACAAGTGCAAGTTCAAATGCAAATCCCATGAATGCAAAAGAGACAGATAGACTACCTATCTCTTTCGCACTCATAAGATTGTCACTTGGACTTGCACTTGTACTTGGCTTTTGCACCTATTGTAGAACCTCCAGGTGAGTGTAGAATAAGCATGAAGCATTTTTCGTATACGAATGCATGTATTTTTTCTGTGCGAATAAGCACCTTATGTGATTTCACTCTAATGGAGCGCTCACACCTCGGCTGCAGGAGCAGTTGCCCATGGCAACCGTGTAAGAGTAAGAGAGATAGAAGATTTTCCATCTCTCTTACTCTTACACGGTTGCCATTGGCAACTGCTCCTGCAGGCGAGGTGTGACCGCTCCATTACACCACCACCCTGAGAAGTGGATTTGACGTCATACATATCTCGAATTGACAATAACGTCACAAATGACACAATTGTAGAAAGTCCTTAACAGTCCAACCTTGTTAGTATACATATGTGGAAATTATTTTGGTTTGTGTTGATCAATTCTTGGTGTTAATTGTATACTGAATTTTGAGAATTATTTTAGTTTTCAATCAGTAAACAAACTTTTTTATTAATTGAGCCTGATCGAAAAATCAAGATAGATTGAAATGAACTGAAAGTATATAAACTGACTTACAATAAGGTACATTGTTTCAATGTTGAGGACACTAACGTTATTAAGGTTAGGAAAAACAATTGCATGTGTATTTTGTTTATAAATATGTATAAAATATAATTTGCTGTTTTTTGTGTACATACATTTTTTTAAAATAATAATTACAATTTTCTTTAACATATATTTTAAATCATGAAAAGAAAAATAAACTTGCATTAGTAAATATATTTTAACAAGTAAACTGAATAAATGCATTCAATGTAAAAAGATCATAAATAAGTTTTTTTTTATATTTCTCTTCTCAATTGGTTGAATAAGTTACTTTAATCACGTTCTCTAATCATTTGTATTTCAAAGCGAGCAGAATAAAGAAAAAAGTATCATATACACATTGTTAAATAATAAATTATGATTCAAACCTTTTTGAAGCTATCAAAACATACATTGTTTTGTAACAGTAACTATAACTTGTTTATGGGCATATCTCTGGAACCTTTAACTTTTCAATAAGAAATTTTTTTTTTTTAGCACAGTGTTGAATCTGTGTCTACATAAACTTCAAGAACCAAGATTTACAATTATACAAGGGGACAGATAAAATGAATGACGCTGAAGTTACCAACGTTGATTCGACGAATCAACAAACGAATTTTTCGTTTTCAGATTAGTTTAAAGGCCAAGAACCAATTTTTTAAAATTGAAACTTCTTTATTTTGGTCCCAAATACAACCTTAAACACTAAAAATCCGCAATTAAGGCGGGGAAATATTCAATCTTATAGGAAAAAAAAATTCTTTTTGTCGATTCAACGTTGGTAACTTCAGCGTCATTAAAATGAGTCGTCTTCAAAAAGTTATAAAATATTTAAAATTGCGAATTATTTTTAACCTGTAACAAAAAAATATTCAACAGGTGTTTGCTTTTTATGATAAAAAACAGTTAAAAGGAATTAACTGAGGGGTTATAATTTTAAAAAGCAATAAAATTCGTTTAATATTTTCAATATTTATAAAAATAATAAAATACTGATAATAATGGACTGGGTATAAAAACATGTGTCAAAAATTAACTAGAATTAATTAATTTTTTATGGATCCATTTTTCTGTCTCGAAATAAACATTAAAATTCAACCTTAAGGTTTTAATAATTAATGATGGTTTCTATAAAAAAAAATTAGAATCACCAACTTCGTACTTATCAATTTCTTTCTAAAAAATTTCGGTCGATTACGGTCGACCGTAATTGACAAATTTCGTTTATTTAAATTGTAATAGTTTTTTGAAGACATGAAGCACATTAATTTATTATGTTTCAAAATAATTATAATAACTTGATCTTTGATTTCCCCTAAGCGTGCCGCGCTTGTCTTATTAAAGAAAAATCATAATTACGATAATTACACATGGAGAAAATCTGAAAGCAATGAGTATTTTTCCTCATAGCACTGGCTACTGTGTAAACCAAAAAATTAAATTTCAAAACTCTGAATGTTCTTCACACAGCACTGAATGCTCTGCAGAAAATAATCACAACTTTTTTTGACAGTAAACAGAGTTTCGTTTCATATTAATTGACAACTGATTATTCAGAACTACAAATGTAGCAATAAATTCTTTGCTCGAAGTCGTGACTGCTGTTCTCACAGCTCTGAGTACTGTGTAGAATTATTTTTTAGAATTTAGAAAACAAAGGAACATTTAACGTAAATTAAAAAGAAGATAGCCATGGTTATTTTTCCTTTTCAGATTTTCTTTTTAATTGACATGTTTATAAACAGTTAATGAATAGCAAATAAAGAAATAAAGACTTCAAAAAGTCTTTTTAAAAACTATCGCTTTTTTTTTAATTTTTCAGTTATATAGCAAATAAAGTTATTATACAATAATGAAATAATAAATAATTATTTTTAAAATGAATTATTATAGGTAAATTTTAAATATTTATTTGTATTTCACAAGTTTTTAGATTTTAAGATTTCTTAGCTAATATGAAATTAAAACCAAATCAAAATTTATAGATAATTATGATTAAAAAATATTAAGTTTCAACATTATTATTTTAAATATTTATCTCGTGAAGTAAAAAAAATGATTATTTCTTACGTTTATTAATAAAAACTAATTTGTTTAATATTATTAAAGTTTATTACTTCTTATTTAATTAAATATAAATAATTTTAGTCAAATAATCGGTTTTTCATAAAAATATAAGAAAGCTTATCTAAAATTGATTAAAATTGTCTTGAACGCTTGTTTAAAATTGTTATTTATTTTTTATTAAAAGTTAAATGTTCTTTTATTTTTTTAATCCTAAAAAAAAATTCTACACAGTACTCAGAGCTGTGAGGAAAGCAGTCACGACTTCGAGCGAAGAATTTATTGCTATATTCCTAGCTTTGAAAACACTGTTGTCCATTAATATAAACCGAAATTCTAATAACTGTCAAAAAAATAGTGATTATTTTCTGCAGAGCATTGAGTGCTGTGCAGAAAACATTCAGAGTTTTAGAATTTAATTTTTTGGTTTCCACAGTAGCCAGCGATGTGAGAAAAAATACTCAGTGCTTTCAGATTTTCTCCGTGCAGTCGAAAAAGTTAAAAGTGAGAGACAACTTTCAAAAGATTATAAGGGGCAAAATTCCTCAACTGTTCCCACCCCAAAAAATTAATTTCAGTCGATTCCTCTAAATTTCAACTTAACATAATTTCTATAAAACTTGTTCAATTACTTTTTTTTCTCTACTTTAAGAATATGAAATCCAAATTTTTAAATTTTTCCTTTTAAAGCGTTTTGTCTTATTTAACGAAAAAATTCAATTTTCGATGCTTAAGACCGTTTAAAAAAAAAATTTTTTGTCCCAAAAAATAGCATTTTTTTTTGTATTTTAAAATCACACTTTGACAGAAATGTAATCTGCTTATTTTCAAGGTCAAATTTGACTTTTTTTACATAAAAAACTACAATTTTTCAAATTTAATCTTCAAAATCAGCTATTCCCATATTTTCTTCTCCAAGGCGTTAAAGTACACAAAAAATGCTATTTTTGAGACAAAAAAAAATTTCTTTAAACGGCCTGAAGCATCGAAAATTGAATTTTTTCCTTAAATTTTAAGACAAAACGCTTTAAAAGGAAAAATTTAAAAATTTGTATTTCATATTAGAAAAAATCCTTTTGAAAACCCTATAATAAAAGTGTAATTGAACAAGTTTTATAAAAATTATGTTAAGTTGAAATTTAGAGGAATCGACTGAAATTAATTTTTGGGGTGGGAACAGTTGAGGAATTTTGCCCCATAAATTTTTTCACAATTAATAAGATATTATTAAATGTGTTCGCCGATTAATTAACATTAAAAAGACATATTTTAGAACTAGTAATTTTTATTAAATACAAAATTTTATTGTTTCAAGCATAAGAAAGTATTGTTAGGAACAAGTTGTTTTGTTGTTGTTAAAAATCGCGTATTCGGATTGAAATAATTATTTATGTATTTAATAAATTAAAGTGAAATTTGATGAAAATGATTACTCGTATCAAGCATTAATATTTCCAACAAAAACCAACTAATAATTTATTAAAATTACCGAAATATATGCGAGAGATAAAAAGAATAAAAATTCCCGAAATTTATAACTTTAAAGCTAAATTTACTGCCGTGTTTCCGAAATTAATATTCGATATTTTTGTAAACAAAAAAACCTACCATCAAGGAAATTTAACGTTAAGCACATACTCGTAGAACGTTTTATATAATGTCATAATTTAAACCACATTTTATAATTACTTAATATTAACCACTTTAATTTTAAAAAAAATAAAATAAAAAAAATTTTCTACACCAGCGTTATGCATTACCTAAGACGGGCGCATGATTATCCTATAAAAATCATTAGAGTTTTCATTTTAAATAATTTTATTAGATACAGGTTTTGTTAGACAAATTTTTATGTTTCGAATTAGCATTTAACAGAACTTCTTTTTAAATGAATTTTTCCTTAAAAAAATTATTATTTCACAGAAGTTCTCTTTATCAAACTTAGTATTTAAAAGAATTTTAATTTAACAGAATTTTAATTTAGCATAATTCTCATTCAACAAAATTTTAAGTAATTCAAATTTTTAAATGACAGAAATGCCAATTCACCGAATTTTTATTTGCACAAATTGTTATTTGATAGAATTCTTAAAACGCTTAATTTTCATTTATCGGAAATTGCAAATGACCAAATAAAAAATCGACAGAAAGATTTCGATGCGATTTTTAAAATTGACCAATCAAAAATTATCAAGAAAATCATGGTTTTGTCAATTTTTTTATTCGGTCATTTGCAATTTCGGACAAATAGAAATTAGGCGTTTTAAGAATTCTATCAAATAACAATTCAGAAAATTGAAAATGCCGGCATTTAAAAATTTGAATCAATTAAAATTCTGTTGAATGAGTATTATGCTAAATTAAAATTCGGTTAAATCAAAATTCTTTTAGGTAAATAAAAAGTTGTATAAAAAGAAATTCTGTAAAATAAGAATTATGACACAAATTTATAAAGTCAGTCCATTATATTTCGATTAAAGTCGTTGCTGACTAATTTTAAAAAATTGTGATACTTTGCAGGAATGATCTCAAAGGTATCAAGATCACGAAATGAAAAGAGTTTTAATAAAATATTTATTATTTACTTTAAAATATGAATTGAAAATGTACGAGGTGTTGAAAACTGTCAGTTTTCAGCCAGTAGAAAATATTTGAGAAAACATATAATTTACCATAAATGTGTAAAAAATATTACAGGTATACCCCGCTACCTGTATAACTCGCAACTTGCATATTCCCGCTACTTGACCAGTTTAAAACCTCGCAACCTGACTAATAAAAATGTCACTTTTCGTACGCGAACAGTGCTGTCTATATATTTCGTAGACCGATAGAAAAATTAGGCCGTTAGCTACTAGTCTGGTTCATTTTCTAATGGCCGGCCAGTAGACGATAGCAAATTTAAAGATACAAAATTCTATTCTTCAAAAATGTTCAATTTGTCAAATAGACATTGACAATGATTACAGGAAACCATTGACAAATAATGAGCAAGATTTAATTTGCTCATTATGTGTAAGAGAAAAACGCCTAAAAGAGATGCAGAATGTCTGTTTTAAATGCCAAAAATTAGCAGCCGAAAAGATGATAACATTTTCTGAAGCTACATTTCCAGCCTTGAACATTGTCGATTCAATCTCTTTAGCTGTACCAACTGTTGATTGCGATCTTTAGACTTTAATAATATTTTTGGTGTAATAATTGATTTCAAAAATAACGTCTACCAAATTCGTACAAAACACAGTTTTATAAAAAGATGGTTTCCCAGGACTGATATAAAAAGTGTAGAAATTACGGTTTTATTAATAAATGACGTGCCTACGGATGAATATTTAAATTTACGAAAAGTTGCATCTCTTCAGTCCCTAAGTGGAGGTCAGGGGTAAAAAAAATGCAATTACAAAATTAGCGAACAGCTTGCCAGGTCGAAAATTGGTAGAAAAAGTTAGGCTCTCTTGGGGATAAAATTCAAGAGGAACTTTGCTGTCGATCTCCTAAAACTAAACAAGATCCAAATTAGAAATGTTTTTCGTTTGCTAGATTCACATTCTATGTTACTGTCCAGCGTTTGCTGGTTGCTGGTCTCTGAGTAGGTTATTTTGCATCGAGGTTGCTAGGTACAATGGGTTTCGACTAAGGTGCTGACTCTCGTAACAGGGAACATTATTAGATTAAGCTCGTCTTAGATTAGATTAAGGTGAAAGCTGAGATTTATTATCCGAAGTCAATTTCTTCCTTACTGAAAATTCCTTTAAGGATTCCTTACAGGTGACATATTTGGATCCTTTTTAGAATACTACATATAGGATCTTTTAAAAAACCTGTAGATGCCAACTAGGAACCTGGTAGGTAACCTGAAAAGTCGACCTTTAAGGCCAGGTCCAAGTGAGGCAGCGCCATCTACATTGATACTAAAATTTTGGAAAATTTTCAACAGCCTTTTCTTGAAAACAAGATGGTAAAATGCTTTTTCCTTTATGGATAATTGATTATTGGCAAGATATATACCAGCTAAAACTTTTTTTGAGTTAAAATAATGAAAAAAATTTCATGTCGATTAATTAAATATGAGCACTTTTCACAAAAACTGTAACAGTACTTTCTCAGAAATTACAATCAAAAATGCAATTTCCATTTGGAAAATTAATAAACGCTAAAAAATACACGACCTAAGATTTACCAATCACGAAAATAACAAAAAAAATTTTATTAAATATTTAACATATTGATACTACTTTACTGATTGTGACAGCCCTTTGGTAGATTATGTATTTCAGGTGGTTAGCATCAGCGCCAATCTCCTCCTTTCGGCAAAACTGCGAAACGTCTGGTGACATATATAACCTGCCAAACGGCTGTCATAATGAGTAAAATATGTTATGTTAAAAAACTTTTTTTTGTTATTTTCGTGATTGGTAAATCTTAGGTGGTGTATTTTTTAGCGTTTATTAATTTTCCAAATGGAAATTGCATTTTTGATTGTAATTTCTGAGAAAGTACTGTTACAGTTTTTGTGAAAAAAGTGCTCATATTTAATTTATTGACATGAAATTTTTTTTATTATTTTAATTCAAAAAAAGTTTTAGCTGGTGTATATCTTGCCAATAATTAATTATTATTATCCATAAAGGAAAAAGCATTTTACCTTCTTGTTTTCAAGAAAAGGCTGTTGAAAATTTTCCAAAATTTTAGTTTCAATGTAGATGGCGCTGCCTCACTTGGACCTGGCCTTAAGGAATCTTTAAATTAATTTTCAGTAGGGTTAAATCCAGTGGATTCAAGCTCGCAACTTTAATATAAGTGCGACTTTCGCATCGATTTCGTTCAACCATGTTGAAATAAGTAAAATTCCAGTGTAATAATTTTAACAGAGTCAGGAAAAAAATGAGCCAAAAGTTTTGAACGTTCATATGAACGAAATTTTTTTTACAATTTCTTTAACTACGAATTTTATTACAAAATATTGTTTAAAATATCTAAAAAGATATTATTAATTTAATAATTGTTTAATTTACTGTTTTATTTTACATGGTCATCATAATTTTTAATAATTTATAGATTGAAAAAAATATTTCGTTCATATGAACGTTCAAAACTTTCAGCTCATGGAAAAAATTCGTTTGCTTATGAGATAGTCAGGAAATTTTGAAACAAAGATGTATTGGGCACATAAAAAGTAGAATTTCACTAAGAATCAGTAACATCTATTTTAATAACAGTTAATGAATTTAATCATTTTGTTATTTTTTTTTGCAGGGTCGCATGGATGCCAAATTTTGTAGCTTTTTATTTTAAAATCGTTAAGTGAACGTAAGGAAAGCAGAGAACATAAAGGAAGCATATGAAGGTTAAAAATTTGTCCTTTCTTCAAAATTAATAGTTGTATTAAAAACCACTTATACACAGAAAAAAACTAAATTTTTTTGAAATACGTATAGCCTACGCCACTTATTTTGAACTGTAACAAAAATGAGTCCAGGTTTTTTTTGTGTATAAGTAAAAGTATTAATTGTGTGTGTGTTTTTTGGTAAAATATAGTTTTCTTATATAGATTATTTTTCTGTTGCTTGCAAAAATTTAGCACTAGTGGAACATAAATGGTTTCTAATGGCATTAATTAACGCTTTTTTTAAAATAGAAAAATATTCCACTCTAATTCTATTTTAAAGCGAACAAAATTCGTAATTTTCTTTATTTGGACACATTTATTTCTGTTCACTACTTCTTTAAGTTGCAATTTTATTATGAAATATTTATTTTTGTATCAAAATATGAATAATTTAATAAATGTTTAATGTATTTCTTTATTTTTCATTGCAGTAGTAATTTTAAAAAAATGTATACACCAAAAAAATGATTTCTTTTATTTGAATGTTCAGAACTTGAGGCAAATGTTAAAGTATCTTTTATGACTCTCACTGATTTCTAAAATTCAGAAACTTAAATATATAGAAAAAAATCACAATGGAAATTTTACTATACTTCTTCTATAGAAAACCAAAAGAAAAAGTAAAAATTAGCGTCACAGCATGTTATAATATTGCTTTAGTAATTTTATCAATTTAAATTGTTTAAAAAATTGATCTTATAAGAAGATATTTTATTGCAGTTGTAAGTTTAAAATCAACCATGGCTCTAATGAGTGGTCCACAGAAAAGAAAGGAAATTTACAAATATGAAGCACCATGGCCTTTATACAGTATGAATTGGTCGGTGCGTCCTGACAAAAGATTTCGTTTGGCTCTTGGTAGTTTCGTCGAAGAATACAATAATAAAGTTCAAATTGTTTCTCTCGATGAAGAAACAGCTGAATTTAGTGCAAAAAGCACTTTTGACCATCCTTATCCCACTACAAAAATTATGTGGATTCCAGACAGTAAAGGTAAACTAATATTTAAACATTTTTATAAGTTCCAAACTATACAAGATAATTATAACTGGTTTTCACAAATAATTAAAATAATTAAATTAGATGTCCTAAAAAATTAATCCGAAGAAGAAACTTATTTTACGTTAAGTAACATTGTTAAAAAAAAAATTAATCTAATAAATAAACACATAGAAAAATCTAAAATTTATTTGAAAAAATACTTCTTCGGAAAAATTATCCATGCGAAAAAGAAAAAAATACCTTTTTGGAGAAAATTTCCATTCGGGATAATGACCGTGAATTGAAAATGAGAACGCAACATTCCAAAATTTCTAGTTCAAAAAACTTGCAATAAGTGCTTATATCAGTCTGAAACTAGTGCGTGGTCATAAATCTAAATCCTTCAATTGATTTTTCAAAAGTACTTTTTACATAATATTCAAAGAAAGTTGAATTAAAAAAAAATCTGTTTGTTTTTGCTTAGGATCATATCCTGATCTTCTAGCAACTTCAGGCGACTACTTAAGGATATGGCTTGCCGGTGAACCTGAAACTAGATTAGAATGTGTCTTAAATAATAATAAAAATTCTGATTTTTGTGCTCCGCTTACATCGTTCGATTGGAACGAAATAGATCCTAATATTATTGGGACATCAAGTATAGACACGACCTGTACTATTTGGTCTATTGAAACAGCACAAGTTTTAGGACGTGTGACTGGATGTGTTAAAACACAATTAATTGCACACGACAAAGAGGTTTATGACATTGCTTTTAGTCTTGCTGCCGGTGGACGTGATATGTTTGCTTCTGTCGGAGCCGATGGTTCTGTTAGAGTTTTTGATCTACGTCATTTAGAACATTCCACTATTATTTATGAAGATCAACATCGTACTCCTTTATTGAGGCTTGCTTGGAATAAGCAAGACAGTAATTTTATTGCCACAGTTGCTATGGATGCTTGTGAAGTTATAATATTGGATATTCGAGTTCCTTGTACACCAGTTGCAAGGTTAAATAATCACAGGTAACTTATTATATTTCTTATTATTCTTATATTCTTATTAAAATAGGGGTAAAAACCTCAAAAACCGTGTTTTTGAGGTATAAGTGTTTTCAGTATTTTTTTTCTCCTTAACCTGACGTGCTAGCCACTTCTATATAGGCTTCAATTAAAGTTTAAAACGTACAATTTAAGACCCATATGCAAAAGATAAATAAAATTTGAAATTTTGAAAAAAATTGGGGTAATGACCCCAATAAACTTTTTGGGTGTCTTGAACCTAATTTTTTTCAAAATTTCAAATTTTTTTTTATCTTGCGCTTATGAGTTTTAAAGTGTACGATCTAAGCTTTAATTTAAGCCTATATAGAAGTTTATCACCTGAGGTTAAGGAGAAAAAACATACTGAAAACCCTTAGAAACAAGGTATTTCGAAACTTTATCCAAAATCTTAACGTGACACGCAATTGTGGAACCCGGGATCGTGTTCAGGACGCAAAAATACATTGGAAACCACTCTGATATCTCAAAAAAAGAACCTTATAAACCTGTGTAATTATACATGAATTGATTCAAATCTTATGTTAATTTTTTAGATGTTCTTGTAATTAAAGATAAACAATAAACTTATTACTGACTGGTATAGAAAACCTACCTTTTCTGAACGAACGATTAATTATGATTCACAACAACCAATTGCTCAAAAAATTGCTATTATCTACAACTTAACTGACAAGGCGATAAAACTCTCAAATGAAAAATTTCCAGGACATGACTTTGATTGGGACAATTTCTCTATACTTGACAAAGAATCTAATGAAAGCAAATGTCTAATATCTGATATGATTCATATTAATCTGCAAAATAATGCAAGAAATAAGAAAATTGACACTCAAAACCTTAGTAATTGGTATCTTCAGAAAATATTCGTAACGTCTATCTTTAATCGCACCTTGACGTTTCTCCTTATAACTATTTACACTTATTGAAATAAGTTCAATGACCCTATTTTCACGCGTGTCATTTTCTATAATAATTTCAAAACTGATCAGTGTCTATTTACAATAGTATTGACATAGACGTTTAATTATTGACGAGTTTTAAATGTCTTAACTTTTAAATTTACGTATTTATTATTATTATTATTTTTTTTTTTTAATGTTAATTATTGTTTAAGGTAATTATAATTCCCTCCACCTTAAGCATCTTTCTTCCTTTGTTTTAAATTTTTTTCCACACAAAATTAAGAAATAGTTTTCTGTTTTCCGCAAACAACTCACAATCCCTAATGTAATGTTTTATTGAGCTTATTTTATAAACCACATTTGCATTCTTGTGTGATATTGCTAAGTGTATTGATCACTCTCAGTGAATCTGTACAAATCAGCGCCTTTTTCCATTTGGGTTGCTGGTACATATTTTAAAGCTCTATAGCAGCCCAGCAATCTTGATCCCTGTTTGAAGTTTCTATTGGGAACAAAAAAACTTGCGCTCGCCCTATCCCTAGCCTCAGAGTATGAACCGTCCGTAAATATTATTTCGTATCCTGGATAATTATTATTTAAATGTTCTTGAAATTTTTTTTCTACTCCCTGTACTGTTCTAATTTCAAATCCTACCTCTGTGTCGCTTATCAGATCTAAATCGAATGTTATCACAATCCAGTCCTTGTCAAATTATGCTGGTCACCGCAAACTCTCCATTTCCTGTTAGATAATCCCTATCGGGCCAAGATCACTCTGAGTCATTTGAAGTTTGACATTTACTCATTTTGTTCCTAAACACAAAATTATGCGCAGGAAAAATAAACCTGGATTTTTAATATGTTATTTTTAAAAATTTTATTAATACTAAATAAATAAAATGATTTTATCACTCGGTCGATATTAAATAAAAAACATGAAGATAACGATCACTCCGAGTCAAGTCATTGGTTGATTTTAAAAATCGCGCCGAAATCTTTCTGTCGATTGTTTGTTCGGCCATTTGCAATTTCGGACAAATGAAAATTCTATCAATTAGAAATTCTGTTAAATGATTTTTCGGTTAAGTAAAAATTCTGTAGTATGAAAAATTGGTTATATGGAAATTATATCAAATAACAATTCGAACAAATGAAAATTCTTCTGATTGAAAATTCTATGCAATGAAATTCTACCCAATAAAAATTCTTTAAAATGCCTATTATGTTAAATGAAAATTCTAACTAATGTTATTTAGAACATAATCATGCGTCCCATATTTTGAAAGTCGATGAAAAACTGAAACTTTTTTGTATCTTGGTCATAATTTCTAAACTCAGTACTTTTAGAGTTAGATGTCATTGAAATTAGGTCTATTTTTAAAAAACTCGAGTGAACCAAATATTTAAAAATTCATAACTCGAAAATTTTAGCACTTATAAGAAAATAAAAAAATACGTAAACCTTTTTTTTTTGCAAAATCAGAACTCTATAATTATATGCATTAGCATTTTTATAAAAAGGAGAATTTTATTTCTATTTAAAGGGCAAGTGTGAATGGTATTGCTTGGGCACCACATTCTTCATGTCACATTTGCACAGCAGGTGATGATCATCAGGCATTAATATGGGATATTCAACAAATGCCAAGAGCAATTGAAGATCCAATTTTGGCTTATACTGCGGCAGAGGGTGAAGTAAATCAAATTCAATGGGGTGCAACACAACCAGATTGGATTGCTATTTGTTATAATAAAGCAGCTGAAATTTTACGAGTATAATTTTTCAGTATTCTTTGTTATATATACATATATAGTGCATTTTTTCACAATGCAAAATTGTATACAAGTATTACTTTTTGTTGATGAAGCTAAATTTATATAAACGTGTGAACAAATTTTATTTGATTAATAATTCATATACATATTATATATATAACTGATCATAACAACACAATGCATTCTCTATTCTTAAAAAGAGTTGTCAACATTAATTCAATGTACTGTCTGTGTAGTGCAATCCTACGTGTACGTATTAGTCATTTTTGAAAAAAAAACAAGAATGTTTTGAACTATTTTGATAAAAAATATTAAATTTTTCCATTTACAAATTCATAGAGTAAAAATTGAAATTTTGATTTTTAAAAATGTGCTTTTTTTCATTAAAAATAAAAAGAATAATAATCAATAAGAATTGATAATAAGAAATTTACAGCAATTAAATTACTTATTTAATATCTAAGTTTTATAGTCAAATATTGTTTTTTTTAAACATGTAAACATGTTTTATTAATTTGTAAAAATTTATTTAATTAAATGGCATTTTCTACGTTTTTTGACTGAAAAATAAAGGCTTTAAAGTCATGTGATGAAATTAAAAATTTGTATATTCCTTATAACCGTGAGAATTAAGTGAAAATAGAATTTGGAAGTATAAGTGCTTTAGATTTTGTTTTTGAATCTTTACTGGAAATTTTTAAATAAAACTAACATTTAAAAATGTTATAAACAAATTTCCAATGACTAACATTTATAAGTGAAAAAAATCACATTCTTTGACAGATTAGAAATACACTTTAATGACAAAGTTCTTGAAATTTTTTAATATTTGTGCAGTGCAAAAAAATATGCAGTAAAAATAAAGACATTAAACGAAAATATAATTACCAAAAGACAATAAAGATTTTTTTTTTATCAAAAGCAAGGTAAATAAAAAATGTCATTATTAAATACAAAAAAGGAATAAAAAAGTTGAAAAAAAATAAAAAGTTATGATAGCAAAATGCGATTTACTTATAATTTTTTTTTTTAATCTTATTTCTTTTCTTTATGCACAACTCAAGGGAAAAAAAACTATTAAATAAAATTTTATTTGACTCTAAAAATATTTCTGAAATGTATCCCAAAATGCCAGAAGGCAAAAATGTTTTGACTTTGGAGTAAAAATTTGTGAACTGTGCCAATATTTTTTAAAAAGTCGAAATTTTTTCATGAAATGTACGTTTTTGTATATATTCAAAACAGTTAATAAAAAAATAAAAGTTGGACAGTTTTTTAAAATTTAAATATTTATACAAGTTATATTATTATAAAAATTTTTGTGCGTGATTTTACAAATTTTTGTTTTTCTATTAATCTACAAAATCAATTTGACTGGCCCTTGGCATTATTATTTAAAATTAACATCGCTTTCGATTAATATTTCTCATTTTTAACAAATTCCATATAATTTAAGAAAAAAAGAAAATATTAATTAAAATTAGTGTGAATTTAAAATAATAATACACAGTGCAAGACAATTTGATTTTGTAAATTAATGGAAAAACAAAAATTTGTAAAATCGCACACAAAAAATGTTTATAACAATAACTTGCATAAATGTTCAAATTTTAAAAAACTGTTTAATTTATATTTTTTATTTACTGTTTTGAATAGAAAACGTGAATTTCATGAAAAAATTTTGACTAGTCAAAAAATATTGGTAAATATTTTTTTTGTGCAAAAATTGTTTATTTCACATGAATCCAAATTACAGGTAATCTAAAAAGATACATATATTCAAATTAATATTTTTATTTTAATATTTCTTTCCTTTATGTTTTCAACAATTTTACATCATATTTTACATTTTTTTTATTTTGAATCATATTTTTTTTACTTTTCAACAATTTTACATCATATTTTACATTTTTTTATTTTGAATCATATTTTTTTTACTTTTCAACAATTTTACATCATGTTTTACATTTTTTTTATTTTGCATCATATTTTTATTATCATATCTATTTTTTTTACTTTTCAACAATTTTAAATCATATTTTACATTTACAAAAACTTTTATATAGTTATTCAAAAAAATTAAGCTAGATTTCCCACATGCCGTTAATGGAAATATTAACGGATATTTAGTTGATATAATTAACAGGCCCTTTAAATTGTATCATCTTAATTACGTTAATCTTACAGCAGGATGATTTTTTTTAAATTAAATGTCCTTTAATATTATCATAGTGTGAAAACAGAGTATATACTGATGATGTACTGATTTATTTCGTTAATATATTTTATATCATGCGTTTCATTTTCCCGCCGCCAGAGTCATTTTTAAGATATTCAAAAAAAAAAAAAATGTTAATAATAATTATTAAGATATTGAAAAAAAATATAAGTATTGACAATTAGTAATGCGATAGATTTACTTAATGTTGTTTTGGCTTTTTAGGCTTTTAAATTTTGTTATGGAATATCTCTTTATTTTTTTGAATTTCTTCTTCATTTTTTCTCAGTGAATCTAAAAAAATTAAATTGTCATGTTTTTAATAATAATAATAATAATAATAATAATTTTTTATCCCGTAGGCACAATGGTTGCCTTTAGCCCCTTGTTGTTTATATTATTTATTTTTTATAACAAAGAATAAAAATAAAAAATAAAATAAAAAGTTTTTACAAAAATGTAGAAAATGAAATTCACTAATAAAGTATAAAAATTTTATATTAGTTAGATTTTAAGAGAAGGCACCACCCCCAATTTTGACCCCTTAAGTCTTTAAAAGATTTATCAAGCAAAGACATTAAAAAATTTCGAACAATAATTAAGAAATTGTTGGTATATACATATTTAATAAATTTTAATATTTTTATTAATTTACTTACAGCAAATAAGGACACGTAAAGTAAAAACTACATGAACGTGCATCCAAAGAAAAAATGGAACTATTTTGAAAGTTATTCTGATACTTAAATTTTTCAGTATCTATTTTTATCAAAAAAACAAATTTTATTCACTTTTTTTTATGTTTAGTTGTTAAATGATAACTTTTTGCTTTTATGTCGAAACATTAGAGATTATTTCAAGGATTTGGTTTTGCAAAAAAATTTAAAAAATTTTGAATACAAGCGCATCATCATTGGTTTTTATAAATTTTGAATGATGGTCCAAAAAGATGTCCAAAAAACGTCTAAAAGACATTCAAAAGGACGTCCAAAAGACATCCTTTCAAATTTTCTAAGTTGAAATACCAGTAATACTGCAGAAAATTTATTTTTATTTCAATTTTATATTTTTCAAATTATACAGAATTAATGAAAAAATGTTTATAAATCTGGGATCGAACTCGGATACCTTTGGCTTGAATCATTGCGCCTTAAGCACCTCAGCCGTTACCCAAATAGCACGCAAGTCTGCTGCCAACTTGCAGCCAACTTAGCTTTGGGTGGGACATTGCAAGCTTGCAAAGCAAACTTTCAAAACTTGCAATGCAATTTGGCAGCAGACTTGCGTGCTATAGGTGAAGACAGATATGAGCCTCTTCAAAGTTTACACTAAAAAAAAAAAAATTTATTTGGATCAAATAAAAAGTATTTGATCCAAATACATCATTTACTTGTCTATTATCCAATAAATATGTATATTTGAACCAAATACACATTTACTAAACCTAAGTATTTTATTTATCGTATCAAATAAATGGAATATTCAAAGCTAATAAATAATTATTTGAATCAATTATGAAAATTATTTCATTCAATACTGCAAGTTTTTTGATTCAAATAAATATTTATTTGCATTATTAAAATATTTTTCTTGAAACAACTAAAAATTTTCTTAAATCAAATTCGATTATTTATCATAAGTAATTGTTTTAATTGAAACTAAAACCTCTTTAATTGCGGCAATTATTATTTTATTTGATCCAAATACATAATTTATTTGCATAAAATTTAAAAATTTTTTGATTCAAATAAATCAAAATTTGAATTGAATAAATAACATATTTATTTACTAATTCTTCCATTTCTAAATTAAATTCTTACTCAAATAAATAAATTAAAAAATATGTAATTTCTACATACTATGATGGCATATTTTCATTTTTCAACTAATTCATACATAGTATTAATGATTAAACGCAAACCTTAGAAATTAATAAATCTAACGCATAGGGGAAAAATCGAACCTACGATCTACGGATTATGAGTCTAACGCTTTACCAACTTAACTTCTTTATATCATTTAAACTTGCAAAATACCTAACTCAGAAAAGTGCTTAACATCATTTAGTTAAAGTTAAGATATTAAATTATATTTTCCAATTAAATGCAATTTATAAAATATAATTAATTATATGCTTTATGATTATCATGAATCATCCCAGGTGAATTTTCAAAAAAAGTGTAAATATTTTTTTTATTAAAAAAGCGTTTTTCGTTGTTCTAAATTATTGTAAAAATTAATTTTTTGTAGATCAAAAAATATTTGACTTTTTATTATTCTCATTACACTTAAATATTTAATTGATCAAAATATTTTATTTTCCTTTAATAAAATAGTGTATTAACATTAAATAACGCATTATTTATATTAAATAACTTAGTTAATTAAAATCAATAAAATAAATTTATTGTATAAAATACTTTTTATTTTTTTTAATAAAACGTAATATTTGGGTGAAATAAATAAATTAATTGTTTCAAGTAAATCATTATTATCGTTTCAAATAAATATTTAATTGATTGAAATATTTTTTTATTTATCTGGATAAAATATATAGTGTATTAGCATTAAATAACGAGTTATTTGTATTAAATAATTTAGTATATTTGAATCAATTACATAAATTTATTGTGTCAAATACTTTTTATTTGTATCAAATAAACGAAATATTTGTGTGAAATAAATGAATGAATAGTTCCAAGTAACTCATTATTTTTATTAAATAAATTCATTTATTCAATTCAATTAATTATTTAATTGAACCAAATACGATTTATTTGGTTCAAATAAATGGGATTCAAATAATTCAAGTTATTTGAATCAAATACATATTTTTTTGATCAAAATAAAAAGTATTTGAACCAATTAAATATTTTTCAAATAATTTGAAGTATTTGAATCAAATAAATTTTTTTTTCAGTGTACAATCTAACTTCTCAATGAAATGAATTAAATTTAGAAAAATTCCAATAACTTTTATCTTCAGCAGTTTTTAAGTCCAAGTTAAACTTAGAAAATAACATTATCTATTTATGAAAATTTATCTATTTTCAAAATTTGAAACAAAAGATATTTTTAAGACATCTTAACTCTTTTAGGAGTGGTGGTACGTATACGTACCACCTATTTGCTTTTATTTTTTTTCTGTATTTTGTACATATTTTTCAGCACTCCTGTACGTGTGATTACTTTTTGGAAAAATGTGCACTTCAAAGGGTTAAGGAGAGGGACCGGTGAAATTTCAACTCATCGCGAAATTAATGTTGTTAAGGGGTGTCAATTTTTTTCTGGCATTATTTGGGATTTAAAATTATTGTGAATTATCAAAATTTAAAGAAAATTTTTTTTCACCATTTTAGAAATTTTATTTTTTGAAAATATTAAAATTTTTAAAAATTTATACGATTGATAGTTCAGAATCATGCAAAAAGCCTACAACAAAATTACCGATAAAAAATAATATAACAATTGTTTTAGAAGTTGAATTTTTAAGGAATAATTTATGAAATTTAAGGACGTTTATCCACGGAAATGCAGACCTTTTGAAAAAAATAATTAATTAACATTTTTATAATTAAAATAATATTATTAATTGTATTTTCTAAAGGATGAGATATTAATTTTCAAGAAAAATATTTAAAACCTGTAAAATTTATTTCTTTATACAATTTGCATAGGATAATTTTTTTTTATATTGCTTCTACAGAATTTTTTTAAAAATGATTCAATTTCAATGAAATATGGCTTATTTTCTTCAGGAAATTATTCTCTACAACTTAACCGTGAGGATTTTTAAACAAGCAAGCCGTTTGGAAAATACATAGCTAATTGTTTAAAAGAAAAATTTGAATTTTTTAAAACAAATATCTGTATTTGCCAAACGGCTTGCTTGTTTAAAAATCCCGACGTTGAAGTTGTTGAGAATCATTTTCTGAAGAAAATAATATCCATATTACATTGAAATCAAGTCATTTTTATTTTTCAGAAATTAAATTTTTTCAAAATCTATACGATTGATTGTTCAGAACCATAAAAAAGTGTATAAAAAATCAGTAATGAAAAATAATAAAAATTGTGCGACAGAAGTTTAAATTTTTAGTTTTTGAAGATTTTGAGTTTTATTCAAAAAATTATTAATGAATTAATTGTTTTGCAATTTTCCATAGTATATTACAGTTTTAAATACTCAATATTGGCAGAAAAAAAATTGACAACTTTATAAACAGCCTTAATTTCGAAAGGTTGAAATTTCAGCGGTCCCTCTCTTTAAAATAATCTAATGGCTAAGACAGAACATTCTTAGGACGTCTTTTCTTACAAATTCAAAATGACATCCTTAGGACGACTTTTGAACAAGTGTGATTAAATTTCTTTATTTTTTTTATTAGCGATATTAAGATAGAAAAAAAAAATTTATTAAAGATTTGTGAAATATAGAGATGAATAAATAATAATAATAATAAATATATTCAGTCAGATTTAGAATTGATAAAATTATAATACATTTTTGTAATGGATACAAATGAATAGGAAAAAATCTAACCATCTTTTCACTTTCATAATTTTGCTTAAATATATTGTACCGCAATATTAAGGGCAGGTCAAAAGTAGTGTCAATTCTCATATATCCCCTGGCGGATTCGATTTGCGTAATGTCTACTTAACTAAGCGGACTTTAGGTAGACATTAGGTAGACATGTAAAAAAACGTATAAAAAAGCTATTAATCGACTTATTATGATAAAAAAAAGTTGATAAAAGGGTAAATGAATGTTTATAGAGTAAATTCGTACAAAATTTGTAATTAATAAAGCATTAAATAATTAATAATGAATGGAAATGTGCGCGAGGTACCTGATCAGTTCAGCTGTACAATTATTTTCGTGCTATTTTCATGAAAAGAATATAAATTGACTGCAAAAACAATTGATATTTATAAAAAAGTGTAAAATTGATTTAATTTTATTGTTTGCAATACGAATTATTAAATAATAATTAAGTTTTTATCAAATGTGAATAGTGTTGTGAAAACCTGTGAAAACTAATGAGTTACTACATTACCGATCGCATATGATAATAAAAAGTTCTCGATGAGTGTAACAAAATAGCTGCAATCATGTCCGTAATTTTGGACGAGAAACAATTATGAAATCAATAATTATTTGTATAACTTTATTCTGCATTTTAAAATTCACTTTTTATTTTCTTTCAAAGCAAAAGCTTGGAAGAAAACATGCTCGCACTGTATTGTAAAAACTGGTGGCGCCATCTCTCATATGCGATCGGTAATGTAGTAACTCATTAGTTTTCACAGGTTTTCACAACACTATTCACATTTGATAAAAACTTAATTATTATTTAATAATTCGTATTGCAAACAATAAAATTAAATCAATTTTACACTTTTTTATAAATATCAATTGTTTTTGCAGTTAATTTATATTCTTTTCATGAAAATAGCACGAAAATAATTGTACAGCTGAACTGATCAGGTACCTCGCGCTCATTTCCATTCATTATTAATTATTTATTGCTTTATTAATTACAAATTTTGTACGAATTTACTCTATAAACATTCATTTACCCTTTTATCAACTTTTTTTTATCATAATAAGTCGATTAATAGCTTTTTTATACGTTATTTTACATGTCTACCTAATGTCTACCTAAAGTCCGCTTAGTTAAGTAGACATTACGCAAATCGAATCCGCCAGGGTCAGTAAAAATCAGTCAGCCCTGCCCTTAAGGACCAATATACTCAAGCATTCTCGTTAAAGTTGTGCTATATATGTATTGGCAAACTATTCTTTTTTTTGGGGGGGCGGGTGGAGGAATTATTAATTAACGCATAACGCGTTATTTAAAAATTAGTTAATTAAATTAAAATAAGTTTTCTCTAGATATTTGTTTAAAACCACGTTATATATGTAAATAATAAAATTTTATATATTGAGATAAATTTAGGAATTATATAAGTAGAAAATAGTTGCATTTCATGTTGAGAATATAAATATGCTAAAATAGTAAAAATTTAAAGTATATAATTGAGAAAAATAATTTATGATAGAAAAGTAAAAGAAATGAAGTGCAATAAAAAGTGAGATTCCCAATAAGTTGTTACGTCCCTGTCTTAAAGAGGATGGGAGGGCAAGGAAACCGGTGCTTGACTGTTTGAGCGAACAAGAGAGACTAGTGCTGTCGAGCGCTAGTGTTTGTTACAAGATGGCAGACGACGTGCCATCCACAGGAGACGACGCGGCCATCAACCTGAGGGACGACAATCGCCGCGTATCTCGGGAGCGGCATAAACGCCTCTTGTTGGAATCTGCGTTAGATTCCACAAAAATTTGTCTTTTCCCACAAGATACAACAACAAAAATAAATGGATTATATCAGTGCTTAAACGTGATTGACAATGTTACTAGTGATATTAATAAAAGTTGTAACAAAAGCAATAACCAAAAAGTAATAGTTGTAGTGGATGATTCTCTAAGTTTTACACCATCGAGCGATAATGATAATAATGATGATGATGATGATGATTGTCAAGACATCAAGACAAAAAACAACGTCGAGGAGAATGATGATGACAACAAATTGCAGCTCAGCAACAAAGAAGATAATGATGATGATGTAAATAATAGACTCTTGAATGTGAGCCACAGTGTTGAATCGACAAATGTAACATTGCTAACAACATCATGGACATCGATGTCGACGATTGATCCACTAGGAGTAAATGTAGTGAATGGATCATCGCTTATGACATTAGGCTTAGTTGAGTCGGTTAATAAAACGGGAAGAAGTGAACGAATAGTGAAAGAAAGAAGTGCGACTATTAAAAGTATGGGCAAAAGTGGTTGTATTAAAAGTAATAAGAAGAAAATAGAAAAAATGATTTCAGCAATAGTGCGCAGTGAGTCGCGTGAAGTTGGTAAAGACAACAAGCAAGAAGATGTAGCTAAGGACAAGAAAGGATTGTCTCAAGGTCGAGTTATAACAACTCGTTTACAGGATACATCCTTTAAGAAACAAATCAAATCCTCGGAAGACACGCTCATCGGGCCTTGCGGCAAGAAACGGTGCGCCGATCGATACGATAGCTCCGAGAGCTCCGACAGGTGAGGCTTCACTATAACTAAACAATAGCGCAAGGTTCTATAACCAATTTTTAATGTCTAAACTATTTCAATCAAAAGTCATTCACTAATTCAAATTAGTACAATTTTTCATTAAAAATTATCAAATTTTTAATAATGGATGACTACACTTATTCAGATTTAGCGAGTTTTTTAATTTCAATTAAGTTTTACTATTTTTGATTAAAAATTATATTACTCTTATTAATTATTTTCTTTCAGCTTTTGAAAAATTTTAAAAACAATTTTTATTATTTTATTATAATAATCTTTTATTTTCTTTTATAAAAATGTCTTTCCTCAAAATAATAAATAAACAATAATTTCAATTCAGAAATATTAAGATAAATATATAGGAACATCTCTAATAGCATCCAGGATTAAGGATATCCTATACATTGAAGAAAAAATTTATTTCATTTAAATAATCGATTAGGGTCAGTCGGGGTAAATCCGAACGGGGGGTAAATCCGAACGCTAATTATTTCAGCTTAATTAAAATTTTTAAAAATAAGTTCGATATGAGAATTTTTACCTCAGATCCTCTTGAAGAGATTCTAAGTATTATCCCATTTTTTGTTTGTTAATTAGCAACAGCATTAACAAAGATAACAAGTATTGCAAAAAAGATTGAAAATCAAAGATGACACTCTTTCAGTATTTTGTCTCGTATTTGAAGAAAAAGAAGCTAAAAATTCATTTTATTATTTATAATTGTTTGTTATGAATACTAGAACAGAAACTATATTTGATTTTTGCCTTCTGTAAAATTTTATTAATAATATCAGACCGTTCGTATTTACCCAAGAAAATTGGAAAACTGGGGTAAATCCGAACGGTATTTTTAATAATTTTTTTTTACATCAGAGCCACACAAAATTGTTTTTATTTGATTATACTATTATTTTAACATTATAAAAGTACATAGAAAAAAGTTTTTCTTTCTATATGTATCCTCGTTAGTAATTAATAAGCAGAAACCTAATCTCTATTCTCTCGAAGGAGTGTTTCAATTTTTTTGCCAAATGGTTTGTTGAAAAAAGTTTTTCAGGATCTTAATAAAATTTGGTATTCTACGGTTTTTGGGGTCGCTAATTACCAATTTGAAGTCAGTTTTTCAAAATTCAAAATGGCGGACGAGAATTAAAAAATTCATTGGATTCGCTCGAAAATTGTTACTCGGGGGGTTTCAGGGTTAGCAAATTTGATCATTTTTAAAAATAAGTTTTAGGAAAGTCCGCCATTTTGAATTTAAAAAATTTGACTTTTATTTTTGTATTTACATTCAATCACTCCAAAATACTTTCTGTACCAAGTTTTGCAAAAATCCGTTATGATTTGATAAAGTTATTGAAGGTTTTAATTGTGTAATGCATTTTAATTTTTAACCTGTTTGATTTTTGTATTTATATATGATGCATTATTACATAATAGGTTTATTATCGTATTTTTTTGAGTTTTTATATAAGTTTAACAATTGCAATACTTTAAATTTATTTTCCCTAAGATTTTTCTGAAATACAGTGGCGTTCGTATTTACCCCCATATTTTAGGAAAGTTGCAAAGTATCGAGGTAAATACGAACGCTAAGTTTCCTGCGATTGTAATTTATCAAAAAATTTTTCTACCCCATAAAATTGTTCTATGGAAGTAAAGTAACAACTTCATGCACCAGAATACCGGAAGTATTTTTTTTTTAAAGAAAAAACTTATGTTATTGTTGAAACTTACTAAAAGCGTTCGGATTTACCCCGGTTGACCCTACTTGACTATTATCATATAAATATTTATATCAATTTTTATTTTTGTCAAATAAATTGTATATTTAAATCAATAATTTCTTTATTTGAAAGTAATAAAATTTAATTGACACAATTAAAAATTATTTGATTCAAGGAAATATTTATTTGATAATAGTCAAAGTAATCGATTATTAGAATGAAATAAGTTTTTTTTTCGTGTACTTACGTCCTTTTAGGGATATTCGTAGGTTTTTTTGGAAAGTAGGATATCCATATGATGTTCCAGGGATGTCCGTGGATATCCATATCCTCATTTCCAAAAGTCCCCGGATGTGTCCGTAAAATATCCGTTGCTAACAGGAAATTATACTTTTTATGTTTCATAATTGAAATGTGCTAATTATTTTTTAATGAAGTGATGAAATTAGTGAATGTATACAAAGATATATTATTCATGAATACAAAGGTATACATAATAAAGAATAAAATATTTAAGCAAACAATTTCTACACGGAAAAAAAGAAAAAGTAATTTTTACTACTTTCATAGTAAAACGTGAACTGTCCGAAGTTTCTGCGCATCTCTGGCTCAACTTTTACTCCAAAAATAGTAAAATTTACTCCAGAAATAGTAAAAATTACTACGGAACAATAAAATTTACTACAAAAATAGTATAAATTTTACTATTTTTGGAGTAAAAGTTGCCAGAGATGGGCAGAAACTTCGGACAGTTCCCGTTTTACTATGAAAGTATAGTAAAAATTACTTTTTCTTTTTTTCCGTGTATAATCATTTAAAAAAATATTTTAAACTTAAAGAAATAATAATGATCGATGTTGTATTAAAATATAACACAATAACGATAAGCTGGAGTACGTAACGTTTATGATAAACGATTTTTAAAGAAATAGTTTTTTAAAATGAAAAATTTTATAATTTTTTGCCTAAAAAATATTTTTTTATAATTTGTTGATTAATGAAAACTATACAAGAAATATTTTTTATAGGAAAAAAATTATAGAATTTTTTATTTTAAAAAATTATTTCTTTAAAAATCGTTGTATCATAAACGTTGCGTACTTCAGCTTCGTACACGCAATAATCACTTCTTTTTTTTAATAATATTATGCAGTTTTTAAATTTTTAAACAAAATTAACATTATCTCTTTCTCATGACTACAGAGCGGCCTCGGTTAATTTCTTTGATTCTCTTATCATTCTTTCTTTCAATTTAAAATTATAATTTCTGTTTTTTCTGCACAGTAAAAAATTATAATTTGATTTCACTATTCTGGATATAGATATATAAGATGTTAATTAACTCTTCAAAATTTTCTGAAATGTTCAATACGCGGAAATAAAGAAAAAAATATTTAAAAGTTTCTTTTCACAAAGATTTAATGAAAATCTGAAACATTTAATCTATATATAGTGCTGAGAAATTAAAAGTTAGTGATACAATTATTACTTTCAACAAGACAAGGACCCAAAACAAACGGCGAACATTGTTAAACAATGATTAATTTATAAAACATCCCACACGGAGAGACCGCCAGTTGAAAAAATTACTAAAAAGATTTACAAGTAATGGAAATAAGGTTATACTTTGTCATACATTGATGTAGGAAATCGAAAATTCTTCTAGCAGCATACTTAATAAAACTGTAGAAAATAGTTATTTATATTCTAATTTATGTGAAATTTTTCTATAGTCTACAATTTTATTAAGTATGCTGCTAGTAGAATTTTCGATTTCCTACATCAATATATGACATAAATTATCCTTATTTCCGTTACTTGTAAATCTTTTTAGTAATTTTTTCAACTGGCGGTCTCTCCGTGCACTTGTTGTCAACACCCCCCTCCCCCAAAGACCAAATCGTAATTCCATAGAACATTTATAGGCAGAAATTGATAGAAACGAAAATGTGATATATAACAAATAAAACAGTATTAATAGATAAACTTTTACAAATGTGGAACAATATAGACAATAATTATTATATATTTTAAAGTTAACACAGATCAACATTGATTTTGGTGTGGCAAATGACGAAGCTATTATTTCTGATAGGTTTTTTTTTATTCTGAACACGAATCCGTATAGACGAAAAGTTTCTATCAGCTCTAGTTTTTGAGAAAAACGATTTTAAAGTGTCAAAAAAATCGCGTGTTTGGCAAACGTTAAGTACCTCTATACTGCAAAAAGAAGTATCTTATTATAAGACACATTGGAAGCCAGTTACCAAAAAGCATCTTTCTATCCATCTTACATCTTAAGAAACTAATGGATTTTAAGATGTTTTTAATAACTTAGAAGCAGGTTGTAAAAAACATTTTAAAAAAGCAACCAAAACATCTTAAAATAAGATACTTCTTTTTGCAGTCTAGCAGTGAAACAAAAGGTCGTAGATAAGAACCTTCCACTTGGGCTTAAATTGAAGCTTAATGTTTTTACTACAATCCCCAAAAAGCACCTTTCTGGCATAATTAATTTTGTAAAAGTTTGAGCGCGTACCTCTAGCAATAAAATAACAAAAGGACATAGAACCTTTTATTTGGCGCGGCTTAAACTAAAGTTAAAACTTTAGACTACAATCCCTAAAAATTATATTGTTGCAACAATAACCTCAAAATTGTTGGTATAACGATTATTAAAATAGCTTCCTTTGTTGAAAGTAAACAATTTATTACTAAATACTTTGAGGTTAAAGTGCTGCAAATTAATTTTCAGGGATTGTAGTCTAAAGTTCAAACTTTAGTTTAGGCCCAAAAAAAAGGTTATTGGACCTTTCATTTCATCGCTGGAGGTACGCACTCAAAATTATTCCAAAATTAATTTTTGCAATCTCAAAAATGGATTACAAATGACTTTGAGGTCATAATGTAAGAAAGGTGATTTTTGGGGATTATAGTTAAAACATTAAGCTTCAATTTAAGCCAAAGTGGAAGGTTCTACGACCTTTTGTTTCACTGCTATAGGTACTCAAAGTTTGCCAAAAACGCGGTTTCTTGACATTTTAAACCCGTTTTTTCTCAAAAACTAGAGCTGATATAAACTTTTCGTTTACGGATTCGTGTTCAGCATGAAAAAACCTATCAAAAACAGCTTTGACATTTGCCGCACCAAAATAGTTATTTTCGTATCAAGGGCGCAAAATAGGTGATTGTGGCGAAGGCGAGATTAGAGAAACCAAGGGGACCCGAAGCGCCCGAGGCGAAGCCGAGGGTGCGTAGGGT